GAATAAATTTTAAAAAATAAATAAAAGAAAAGTAAGATAATAAAATTTTTTACATATAAATATTTTTAATTTTGGTTTATATATATATAAAAATAATTTTTAACTATATTATTAAGCGGGGCGGGGACAGGGGCGGGTACGGGGGCGGGGCGGGTATTAACATCCCCGTCCCTGCCCTCGCTCCCAATTTTATCAATCGGAGAAAACATAAACCCGCTAAACACGAGTTTTTCCCATCCAAATCGGGGCTGGTTCGGGCAGGTACCCACGAGGGCAGGTTAGATTCTCATGCCTATTCCTCACAATGAAGAAACAAAGGAAGATCACAATGATGCAAAGGAGGAATATCGATTCTTGGGAAAGAAATATGAAAGGCAAGAGAAACCTACTTTGCTCCCACAACAAATTGAATTGTCTGAACCAAAAGTAAATGTCCCTAAGTATGATATATTGGTTACCTTGAGGAAAGAGAAGAGATCTTGTGTCAAGTATCCTATATCTCAATTTGTTTGTACTAGTCATCTCTATGTTATGTTTAGCATCAAAGATTTATTACAATCATTACAACAATCAAAACACCTACATGAGTCCAACAAGCTCTAAAAGATAGAAATTGGGTCAAAGCCATGAATGAAGAGATGGAGGCATTAGAGAAAAACTCAACTTGAGAGATTTTTGATAAACCCAAAAACAAGAAAGTTGTAGGGTGCAAATGAATAGACATAGTGAAGTGTAAATTTGATGGGACATTAGATTGATACAAGGAAAGATTGGGGGCCAAGGGGTACACACAAACCTATTGCATAGACAATAAGGAGAAATTTGCCCCTATAACAAAAATGAATATAGTAAGAATCATTATCTCCCTAGTCACCCACTTGGGTTGGGATCTACAACAATTTGATGTTAAAAATATTTTCTTGAATGGAGACCTGAAGGAGGAAGTCTACATGGAGATTCCCCCAAGATCTGAATCTCGTGGTGGAAAGAACAAAGTGTGTATGTTGAAAAATGAATATGGTTTTTATGGCCTCAAACAATCTCTCTGAGCGTGGTTTGAAAGACTTACTCAAGCCATGAAGTCCCTAAAATACAAGAGTCAAGGTGATCATACTATATTCATAAAACATTCCCTAATGGCAAACTTACCCTTCTCATAGTGTATATAGATGATATGATCATTGCATGTGATGTTAAGACAGAAAAACTAATTCTAGAAGAAAAATTGACAACTCATTTTGAAATTGGGAAAACTTACGTACTTCCTTGGAATAAAGGTTGCCTATTCTAAAAGACATTTTTATCTCTTAAAGGAAATATAGAAATATGCACTTGATCTTTTGAAGGAGGCAAGAAAACTTGGATGCAAGACCAGAGAGGTACCCATTGAGCAAAATCACAAAATTGGAAGTGAAGAAAGTCTACATATAGAGAAGTCCTAATATCATAGATTGGTAGGGAAGTTGATATATCTATCACACGATGCTATTAGTGTGGTCAGCCAATTTATGCATGACACCATGAGAGACACCTTCAGGCAGTTGAGAGGATTCCCCATTATTTGAAAGCAAGTCCAGGGAAGGGATTGTTATTTAGAAGAGAAGGTCCATTGTCCATGGAGATAAACACTAATGTTGACTATGCATGATCATTCAGATAGAAGATCCACTTTTGGTTACTGCATGTTTCTTGCAAGGAACCTAGTAACATGGGGAAACAACATGCAGAATGTATGTAGTTGCTTAATCTAGTGCAGAAACTAAGTTTTGAGCTATGGCACATGGCATGTGTGAAGGATTATGGATGAAAACTATTCTTGATGACCTCAAAGATAAATATGAAGGCCCTATGGAGTAGCATGATAGAACGAAACACAGTGATTGATAGGCACTTCATTAAAGAGAAGTTGGATGGCAGCCTTATAATTACAGCCCATACACCTACAAAGCTTTAAGAAGCAGGTGTCTTCATAAAGGGACCTATATAAAAAGAGAGATTAGAGAATGTACAAAATACACAATTAAAATACAATTTCCTTTTTATGATCTATATGTATTTACTAACTTGAGGGGGAGTGTTGTAAATATCAAATATTTAGGAAGTCAAAATTATTTCTAAATATCTTTAGATATTTGTTTCCTTATTATTATTATTATTATTATTATTATTTCCTTGTTACCTTTTTCTAAGCATAGTCATTTACCCTATAAAAGGGAGATTAGTGATTAATGAATGTACATAAAATACAATAAAAATCCTCTCATTCCAATTAATTATATTTCTCAACAATTTTTAATGTACCAACAAGACTCTTGTATAAAGAATGAAATTTATGAAAGATGAGCTTAAATTTGACCAAGAGAACTACATCATTTCAAAAGAACACATTCCAACAAACATAGTTTATCTAATTATCAGAACTTTCTACCTTCCCTCCCCCTCCCCCTCCCCCTCCAAGTACATAATACCAGGGCACAAGTACAACATTAAATATCTTCAGGATTATGTCAGCTAAAAGGAATTCTTTAGAATCTCCCAGTCCATGTAGAGGAGTTTGAACTTTGAATAACTTTGACACAAACCAGAAGCGCTAGACTGAATTAAGATAGTAAATACCAACAAGAAAGAAGAGAAAACTGTATGATATTGCAGGAAATGAAACTATTACATAGAAATGAAAAGATCCTACTGCCATATAGTGAGGCTCCTACAAAGAGCTGTTGCTCTCAATTCATAACTAACGAAATGCTCTCAAAAATTATCCCTCCTCAACAAACTCATCATCATTTAATGACAGAAAATTCACCTTCTCTTTCTGCCTGCTAACACTCTCCCTTGTTCCCCTTATTTCTTCTAGTATAAACCTTCCAAATCTTGGGCCCATGAGATAAATAGTGAATAAGTTGCACATCTAGGCCCAATGATTTGTTTTAAGCTCTAACAAACTTAAAGTAGATGAAACATGTACAAATGACAATACCTAAGTGACCAGGTAAATGTGAAAGGTAAAAAGATGCTGCGGCATCAGGATGGAATCCAATATGAACTTCAGGGATAGCAAAAACCTGCAAAATGGGGATAGTTATAATGAAACTTGGCATATGCAATCAAGTGTTTATATGCACATCACCCGAAATGAAGACAAACTTCTATAAATTTAAAATTATCGCATGATGTATACATGGTACAAACAACATAGCAACTAGTAACCAAACTTAAATACTAAAAAATTCCTTATCTAAAAAAAGGGAATTTTCATTCAACTAGTAAGAAGACATCCCAAGATCCAAACATGACAATCAAAAATTCCCAAAAGTCCAATAATCAACCTTATTCCCAAATCCAAATCCTACCTTCCAAATAACAATTCCATCAAAATACAAGAATAAAAAATATTATCTTACATCACCAAAATTGTCAAGAATGAAAACAATGCAGGATTCAGAAAAAGGTTTATCAGATATAGAACAAATTTACAGAAGATTATAGATTACATACAGTTTTGTCTGTTGCAACTCGGAATGTCCCAGGGATTGATATTCCAGCTCCACCACCCATGGTAATGCCATTCAGTAGAGCCACCTGCATGAAATTCATAATTGCTTAGCTTCTTGTTAATGGAAACTAGCTAAGTAACTAGCAAACATGAAAATTGATTTTAATATCTAACATGCTTGTGACCATGTGATGAATGGGATACTGGCATCTCTGTAATATTCCATTTTACAAAATGCACATGTAAGGGAAATGTTGTATCAAATAATTCTGTTGATAAATTACAAAATAGAATAACGGATGGTGATCCTTTGTGTGACAATATTAAGCTAGATATTAGAAGGAAATATTAAACAAACATTTAATGTAATTTAATCTGTTGATCACTTAATTAAACCACTTTTGCTGAAGAGATGTATAATTACGACATTTGATAGTATGGTTCTATGTGGTTATATGTCACTAAAGTAGAATACTAAAATGTATTTAAATTTACATAAAAGTTGGAGTAGAATCAATGTATTAAGTTGTTAATTTATACTTGTTAGACAATTTACCCAAATTAATTCATAATTACAAGCCAAATTTTGAATAAAATGATGATAATGTAATAATAATGAGAAAAAATAGATGGTGAGATATTCTTAAAATTATACAATTTGATGTTATCACAATTAACTAGCATAATAGGATTCTATTCCATTCCACTATATACATTTGTTGTTATTTTACCATGTAAGCCATGTATTTTTTTTAAATCCCCCCCTTCCCTAAATCGGGCTGCAATGGATCACAAAATGCAGTCCTATGAATTTTTTAGATTTGGAATCATATATTCCACGGAAAGATCATATTCAACTGATTAAAAACATCTGTATTTCAATGGTTTCAAATCAGCACTTGGACAACAAATGTATCATAAGTATAATTATTATTCATAAGAAACGGCACATATGAGCATATTACAAATATATGTCTAACAAATAGAGAACAAATAACTTATCAGACTCCAAATATTGTACTCACTTGTGGCTTCAAATATGTACCTATCAGGTATATAAAACTATATGCTGTTCTAAAAAATTCTTTACAGGCTTCCATATTCCCTGCATAAATTGAAAGAGGGGAAAAAACTGTATAAAAACAGAAAATTAAAGTAGCTAAAATGCATTAGAAAAATACATGTTTAAATAGTAGTAAGAAAATACCTAAAACAAAGTTGCATGGAAAATCTGAAACCTAAGTATGGATGCAACCTACAATTTCTCTTGACCTTTCTTAGGCAGCAAAACTTTAAATACCAAAACTCTTGGGAGTTGGATTTTGTTTATCAAAAAATGTAAAAATTAAAAAAGTTAAAACATATGCTCTTCTCCTCCCTTATTTAATGAAACACTCCCAAAATCCTTTCTGAACTTTAATAAGCTCTTCAAGCATCAAAAGCTTAAGAACTGGGGGGAGAAATCAGTTAATAGGTGAGGAGATGATACAGAATCTGATCAAATTCAAATATATTGAAGAGAATATGAGGAAAATATCACAGCTCATACATGTAAAAGGTTAAACCAAAATAAGATGAATTGAAATTGTCCAGTTTGGAAAGGTACAAAGTAGAGAAGCAAACACCAGTTGCCATTGAACTAATCAAGGAATATTTGTTACTTGTAGAATTTTATTATTTTTAATTCAAAAATCAACACGCTGTAACTTTTGTTAACAGTTAGACCATGTTTCATTTAACTTATTTTGAAGAGATGAGAAAAAGAAAAACAATTATTTTCAAAACATCCACATATAAGACCATTCCAAGACGTCCACTTAAGAGCTTTAGATCTTACTATTTGCTTTTAATTTATGGATGTTAACCATACTCTATCTTAATTTCCAAGGATGTTAAACATATCAATTCATATCACATCATCCCCATGTTAGTATTGATGCTTGACAAGGTCCACTATCTCAGAAAACTCGAGACCAATTTGAAAACAGTCAGCAAATAAACAAACATTTTAGAACCTCAAAACTAAAATGACTAAATAAGATTCAGAGGACAAATTTTCGATCCAGATCTTAATTAAAAAAATAAATAAATAAAAATATAAAAAAAGTCTCAATATTTTACCTTTTTTTATCAAATGGTAAAGCGCAACAATATCTCCGCCAGCTCCAAATGCTCGTCCACTGCCCTTAAGAGAGTTGAAAATGCTATGTAAGTTTCACATCATTAAAAATGAGTGAAGATGGGATTGTTGCTAGCATGGGAGGCATAATATGTAGAAAAGGGCAAGAAGATAATAGAAAATGAATTTCACTGGAATCTACTGGCAGAGTGTAAAGGTTTTTTACATTAATTCAATCATGGATTGCAATATAATAGAGAATCATTGATTTTTTTAATAATTAACTTTAGTAGGTATAGAATCTGGTTGGATAAATTTCTTCAAAAACACTTTTAGAAAGAAAAAATAAAATAAACTTCTTCACAGGCTAAAATTAGCTTATACATAGGCTAATCTGTAAAAGTTTTTTCATATAACTTCTTCAAAAAATTACAAATGAAATAAACTTATCCACAAGCTTGTTTCATTATTCTTTCCCATTTGTTTTCCTCCAAAAATGCATCCGAAGAAGTTTATCCAAACATGTCCATATTCCAAAAATCCTTGATGGTTTAGGGTGATCATTATTGACTTTTGTAATAATAAGAGTGTAAAAATCCTCACCTGACAATGCATCAAAATCAAACTCAGAAAATATATATTACCTTCACCATGACAAAACCAATGTCAGGGTTATCTTCCCAACTCCTATAAAATTTATGCAGCGTAGCCACCTGAGAACCCAAAAGCATGTCCCCACTTAGGCAGAGTGAAACCACAACCCAAATTGAGGGTGTGAACATTTAGGGATACCCACATGAAAATAAAAAATAAAATAAAAAAAACAAATAACGAATTTTGGGTTAGAAGCAATGAGGAAAGGAACGTAACCATGCTGGTGTTGAAGGCGTTGAGAGCAGAGGGTCTGTTGAGAATGGCGATTCTAGAGCAGCCATCTCCTTGGACCAAAACCTGCGACATTGTGATTTGTGAAAAAACGGAGATTGAATTGATTTTGTGAAGAGAAGAGTGAGAGGTGAACCTGATTGTGATTGTTCATGTGATTGGGGTTATCGAGAACGACGTGTTGAGAAGTAGAGAGGATTCGGTGGGTATTGAGGCTCTGCTTTGTTGCATTTCTGAGCAACCACCACCCTGACCTTCTCATCGTTTCTGCACTACACACTCTCAACTACTCTTCCTTTCGTATTTAATTATAAGTTTTGGTCCCTGCTTAATTACTTTTTTTTTCATTTCTAGAGTATTAACAGACTAATCTCTTCGCAGGAAAGGAACTTAAAAAATGGAATAGTTAGCTTTAAAATTTAATGCCACTGCATACATAAAGCAAGATTCGAACCCCTAACCTTGTTTAAGCGTGGATAACTCCTAAAACTAAAACACGTTTGCTTAATTACTATACTACTATATTGGTTAATCATGATTTAAATTATAAAAAGAAAAAATAACACTAACATGGATTATTTTTTAACATTAAAACTTGTACCTGATTTCACATTTTATTCAAGTTAATTTACAAATAACCCTATATCTACTAATATATATATGTGATATATGTATCACTTTTAATAAATTTTTAAAAAATATATATATCTTGACTTCTTCACTAAAAGGGATAGTTTTTGAAAGAAAATCATTAAAAATCTTGTATAAATTATATAATATAAATATATTAATAGACTTGATCTGCAGATTTAGGATGTAATCATTACGTAGGAGTTTAATACACATGTATATCGATTGTGAAAAAACAAAATTTAGAAATGACCTGTACAATAAATTGGACAACAAAATTTACCGGAGAAAGTAAGAGAATAGAGAAATTTGAAATGTAATAAATGATGAAATGTGGTGAGGTAGTTGTATTAATTGTTATATATGTATTATTACTTAAAGGGTTTTTCATGGTTAATCAATAAAAATAATTTTTATTAAGATTTTTTATTGTAATTATTCTAAAACTTAAAAAGATAAAGGAAGATGATACATAAATAATAAATTGTACAACAACTTTTGTACAATACGAGAGAAAAAGAGATTAAAAAAAAAAGTTTTAAAATATAATAAATAATTAGATACAAAGATAAATGATACAGACAACGATAAATTGTTGTATGAGTTATTGTATTTATATTATCATAAATGTTTGTGGTTGAATATATTTATCAACATGCCTATCTATCATAATTTTAAAATTTTAAAAATTAAATCGATGATTGAATTGGTTAGCATACTAGATTAATGGATCAGAAATTGAATCGTGAATAATCGTATGACTATGTCTTTATTAATTTTTTAAAAAAAATATTTATAGTATATATATATACATATATATATATATATATATATATCTTATACATATAAATTTTAATAAATACATATAGTGTCTTAAACTTCAATTCCCATCTTATTTAAAAGTAACTTTATTTTTCTTTTGTAGAGAGAAATAGATGAAAAAGTTACATGTTAAATTTTATAAATCAGTATTAATTAAAAATATAAACAATATGTATATATTATAATATAATTGTAATTTTGATGCCACAAAATAATATATCTAATGTGTGAATATTGATTATATTATTAAATATATAACTTAAAATAATAATATACTATAAAAATTATTTAACTTGTTCATATATCAATTAAATTTGCTAGTATAATGGTTTGTTAGTGTAACGACCCGTCAGGTCTCACACTGTCTATAATGTTCAGATACAAGTATAAAATAAAATCTCACTACTAAACAATTATATATATATATATAATGAGAATACACAACTAAAAGTTCCATAATATATATAACTGAAAGTAGGAAATAATATCATATACAACAACTAGGTAGTCAAAAGCTACCAATCAACTAAAAATAACGTCAACCCTCCTCCTGAGTCCCAACCAAAAAGAAGCTCACTCAGTCCAGCAAAGCACCTAATCCTGATCTGCTCGCATACCAAGGTATGGTCATTGTAGTCCCAACCACATAGGAAAAACAGGCTAGGGTAAGCTCACAACAATAATCATAAAAAAAATAACATCAACATATAATAAACAACAATAGAATTCTACTTTCAACTTGTAACTTAAAGCAACACAACATCTACAATAATAAATATACAATATCATCTACTAGCAACAACATTTTCAACACATTGCACTTTATTCAAATTGGCCGCTTGTAATCGGTATAGCTCGGCCTAGCCCCTATACCGTGGTTGCTTCATACACGTGTACCTCGACCTTGCCCACACACGGGACCAACCAAGTCCTAGAGGAGAACAACACATCATCCACTCCAAGGGACAACTTTCTAAGAAGGGTTTTTAAACAAATTGGGCTTTTAGAGCACCACAATTATCTCAATCTGCACAATGGGATGAGCAACTTTGAAAACTTCTCCTCTAATCCTAGTGATCAACAACTCATCACAACACAATCACATAGTATTTATCACAATAGCTCAACTAGCAACTCATTCATACAACATTATATACAACTTGAATGCAACAACCCATGCAACATCAACTAATGCGTCGTCACGCATATACAACTAGGAGATCTCCAACAATTGAGGTTGAGAAGTCTAGGTGGCATAAACCCTGCCGAATCCAGCGTTTGACCTATCTCAACCAGGTCAAGTATAGGACATCATTAGGAACTCCGAAGAGAACCAGGTATAGACAACAATAGGCGATTGCTCAGGTGTGCCACTTAGACTCGGAGGTCCAGTACTACTGTCAGGATAAAAGGGTTTGGGTATGAGTTTGCCACGGCCTTGGCTAGCATCACCAATCCACATATGGAGTTAGCCCACCCACTGTCCTCCAAGTACCACGCACCCTCCAGTACCTAGTCAAATACTACATCTCTAACTAGATACCTTACTCAAATTGGTCATTCAACCATGACATGGATCGACTACTTCCATGTCGCCCACACAGTACTAAGGGATTTAACTTTAAAACAACTTTCAACTTATCACCTTAGTACTATGTATCTCAACATAGGACATATATCTTCACCATATATCCCCAACTTTTCAACTTTACAACAATAGGCAGCTTTACAACTTTACGACAATAGACAACTTTACAACTATAGGCATCATAACAACTTTACAACTATAAGCATTTTTACAATAATAAGCAACTATAGTCATCAATCTCAATTTTAACAACTTTAAGACAACTTTCAACTTTACAGCAATAGGCATCTTTATACTACTTAATTAAACAACTAGAACAACTATAGTCATTACAATATCAACTTACACTAGTGGAAAATAAGGCTATTACATCACCTCTTTTACGTTAGACATACCAAAATATAACGTAAAAAAGATGCGGTGGCATTTTTGTAATTAAGAGTGGATTATTTTACGTCGGACTAGGTATAGTCCGACGTAAATTATACAATCTATGTCGGACACAATAATCTGAGTTTCTACAAAGAGTAATCTGAGTCTTCTGCACACCTTAGTTCTCTTCTGCACTTTAGTTTTGCATTGGGCCTGGACATTTGAGGTTAGTTTCAAAAATCCTGACTTGCATTAGCTTTTGTGTTAATTGTTCATCTAGAACGGCCCGTTCTACAACCAGAACGGGCCATTCTACTTGAAGTTATTGTTTGTTAATTTTTCATCTGGAACGGGCCGTTCCAGATGAAAAATTAACACAAAACTAGTGCAGCTGGAACAGACCGTTCTAGTTTTAGAACGGGTCATTCCAGACGCATTAAGTTTGTGTTAATTGCCCATCTGAAACGGCCCGTTCTAGTTTCAGAATGGGTCGTTCTAGATGCATTAAAGAAGGAGAATTTAATTATTAAGTGGGACCAAATTAGGCATTAACCTTTAGTTTAGCATCATATTAGTAGAAGTATTTATCGATTTTATCCGAAATTACTATCGATTTTTTAGGGTTGTAGTTTAGGTTAGAATAGTTATGAATAACTGAGCCAATAGTTAATTTGTATTAATATATAGATAATGAATCGAAGTTGGATGAATGCACATCGCATTAGTCAAGAGTACAAAAACGGAGTTGAAGAGTTCTTGCAATTTGCAAGAGAAAATGGAAAACCCATCAAAGGGGCATATTATTGTCCATTGTTCGTTGTTTGAATCAAATACGTCAGGAAGTTGGGGAAATACGTGATCACCTATTTATATTTGGTATTGTGAAGAGTTATACAATATGGACATGGCATGGAGAAATATTAGACATTCCAACGGTGTCAACAACTAAAAATTTTGAAGGGATGGACGATAATTTAGAAGAGATGATACGTGATGTTGGTGAAGAAAATTTTGAAAGAGCACATGTGTATGATACCTTAAAGTCTGATTTTGAGCAACCATTGTACCCAGGATGCAGTATGTTTACAAGATTATCAGCAACTTTAAGATTGTTTAGTTTAAAAACAAGAAAGTATTGTATACAAATGATTTTGTTACATTAAAAGTGTGTCCACATGTGGATTGTCGCGGTTTAAAAAGAAAACTGATGGAAGTAGTGGTGAGGAAGAAATAGAGGGTCCTCTTGCTAAGGTCTTATGGTATTTGCCAATAATACCTAGGTTTAAAAGATTGTTTGCCATTAAAGAGGATGCAAAAAACCTCACATGGCATGAAAATGGTAGAAAATGTGACAAATTTCTTCGACATCCAGCTGATTCTCAGCAATGGAAAAGGATTGATGAAATATTTTCAGAATTTGGTGCAGAGTCAAGAAACTTGAGAATTGGTCTAGCTACAGATGGCATGAATCCTTATGGAAAATTAAGTAGCAAACACAGTTCATGGCCAGTTTTGTTGGTCATTTACAATTTGCCTCCTTGGCTATGCATGAAGAAAAAATATATTATGTTGTCTATGATGATATCAGGACCCCGACAACCAGGAAATGACATAGATGTGTATCTTAGACCCTTGATTGATGACTTGAAAATGTTGTGGGAAACAGGAGTGGAGGTTTTTGATGCATATCGTGATGAAAAATTTACTTTGCGTGCAATGTTATTTTGCACAATAAATGATTTTCCAGCATATGGTAACTTGATTTGGTATAGTGTGAAGGGTCATTATGCATGTCCTATATATGAAGAAAACACAAGTTATACCCAATTGAAACATGGGCAAAAAACTAGGTACACTAGGCATCGCAAGTTTCTAGTTCATTGTCATCCATACCGTAGATTGAAGAAAG